GGTGTTGTATCTCCTTCGGTCTGGGTAATTTGGAATGAGGTGAATGGGTTGATTTGTGGGGGACATAGGCTCTTGAGGGCTTCAGGATCCTTGTGGTGGTTTCTGAGACATTTCTCACAGACGATATGACGATCTATTTCTTAGTTTCCAGGATTGATTTTTTGATAGTATACTGACTCGTTAAGGAACTTTCGATATCTCTGAGGTATCCATTGTTATGAAAGGCAGGGATGAGATTCTTCGAGTAGTCACAGTGCAATAGTAGTCTCAGCCCTTTTATATATTGTCTGTACACAACTCTTAGCGTCGTGCTTAGTTATTATTGCTGTAGGCTTTACTTTTTGCATACTTGTTTTTAAAGCTGCTGTGTTCGTCCTGTTGATTAAAACATCTGAAAACGAGCTTTTGTTTTGTGATCCCTCTCCTCTTGCAAATTTGATGTCGTCGAAGATTTTAATCAACTGATGAATATTTTGGAGTCTACCTCACTTTGGGATAATGGATGAATCATCAACGTAATGTACTAGAGCCTTCGGTTTGATTATTGGCAGAGGTGTAATTATATATATTACTTGATCTATCTGTTCACCTGAATGTTAAATTGGAAATATGTTGCAAGAAACAGATCTATGAATTCGACCAAACTTAGGCGCTGTAATGTTGCGTATTCTGTGAGTTGTTCCCTATTATTTTCCTAGAATATGCAATGGAAGGATTAACTGACGATCTTAGGTAAATCTTTAAGGAAACATAAATAGGGAATAATTGATCGCTAGCATACAAGACACTAGATGAAGGTATAAATTTGCGAAAAGTAACACTGCCTTCATACCCATGTTTTACGTTTTCTTCTTTCTATACTTTAACATAGATTATTACGATCGAACAGCCAATCCCTCTCCAAGTTTTGTGAATCCGAATCCATGGATAAATTCTACAGATTTAACTCTACAGAGCTGATACAAAACAACAGTCCAGCAGTTATACTGGCCAAACGTTTCAAAGATCCTATTCACTTTTCAATTAACAAGACTGTATTAATGTTAATTGTTGAGTAGATCACTTTCGATGTTTCACTATTCATAAAATTTAAGGGGAGAGTCACCAGTAGATTTAGTCAAAACCAGTTGAGCGCTATGAGAACTCCATGGTTCCTTAATTTAGTAAATATTAGGTTAAATCCTCCACAATCTTTACTCTTAATTACAATTAAATATTGTGGTATGTTCACAAGGAAGTTGCAGTTTTTGGACGTGTTCGAACTCACTAGTACAGTATATCTCTCATATATTTTCAAGATTTGATTATGATACTTTGGGGATATTTTAACCTTCGGTCCGATTACTCAGTATGCTGATACATTCCGACAGAATGGTCAGTGATAGATAGTAAAAAGCTTGAAACATACTTTTGTTTAAATCATTACTAGGTATATTTTAGCAAACCTTCCTATTAGTCAAGTAATATGTTCACTTGAAGAACTCTTTTGAGATTTGAATATATCCATGATAATGTATTTTTGTCATTTGTTACTTAATTGACTTCCTCACACGAATGGTGTGTTAGCCAACACTAACAGCACAATTTCCATAAAGTACTTTCCTTTTGACCGACATCGAATAACAGCGAAACAGGTGGGTAGAACACTTCAAAGAACTTTTGAATCGACCAGCCCCACTGAACCCACTCAACATCGAAGCAGCACCCACGGACCACCCAATCGATGTTGGCCCACCAACAATTGAAGAGATCAGCATGGCCATCAGACAAATCAAAAGTGGAAAAGCAGCAGGACCAGACAACATTCCAACAGAGGCACTGAAGGCAGACGTAGCGGTAACTGCAAGGATACTCCACATTCTCTTCAGCAAGGTTTGGGATGAAGAACAAGTACCAGGAGACTGGAAAGAAGGACTTCTGGTCAAAATACCTTAGAAAGGCGATCTCAGCAAGTTTAATAACTACAGGGGCATCACTCTTTTCTCAACACCAGGAAAAGTCCTCAACAGGGCGTTGTTAAACAGAATGAATGACTCCGTAGATGCCCAACTTCGAGACCAACAGACAGGATTTCGTAAGAATCGATCGTGTACAGATTAAATCGCAACCCTACGGATCATTGTGGAACAATCGATTGGATGAAATTCATCACTCTACATCGACTTCATTGACTACGAGGAAGCATTTGATAGCGTGGACAGGACAACACTATGGAAGCTTCTTCGACACTACGGCGTACCTGAAAAGATAGTCAATATCATACGGAATTCCTATGATGGATTAAACTGCAAAACTGTGCATGGAGGACAGTTGACAAAGTTGTTCGAAGTAAAGACCGGTGTCAGGCAATGTTGCTTACTCTCACCCTTTCTCATTCTCCTGGTGATCGACTGGATCACGAAGACGTCAACTTCTGAAGGGAAGCACGGGATACAGTGGGCATCTAGGGTGCAGTTGGACGATCTAGACTTCGCAGATGATCTGGCTCTTCTATCGCAAAGGCAACAACAAATGCAGGAGAAGACGACCAGTGTAGCATCAGCCTCAGCAACAGTAGGTCTCAATATACACAAAGGGAAAAGCGAAATTCTCCGATACAACACAGCATGCACCAATCCAATCACAATTGACGGAGAAGATTTGGAAGATGTAAAAACCTTTGCACATTTGGGCAGCATCATTAATGAACAGAGTGGATGTGATGCAGAAGTGAAGGCGCGGATCGGAAAAGCAAGAGCAGCATATTTACAACTGAAGAACATCTGGAACTCAAAACAACTGTCAATCAACACCGAGGTCAGGATTTTCAACACAAATGTCAAGACAGTTCTACTTTATGGGGCGGAAACCTGGAGAACTACGAAAGCCATCATCCAGAAGACACAAGTGTTTATTATTAACAGCTGTCTACGCAAAATACTTCGGATCCGTTGGCCGGACACTATCAGCAACAACCTACTGTGGGAGAGAACAAACCAGATCCCAGCGGAGGAAGCGCTGGAAGTGGATAGGACACACATTGAGGGAAGCACCCAACTGCATCATAAGACAAGCCCTCACACGGAATCCTCAAGGTCAAAGGAAAAGAGGAAGACCAAAGAACACATTACGCCGGGAAATGGAGACGGACATTAGAAAAATGAACAAGAATTGGATGGAACTAGAAAAGCAGGCCCAACACAGAGTTGGTTGGAGAATGCTGGTCGGCGGCCTATGCTTCTTTAAGAGTAACAGGCGTAGTTAAGTAAGGGGATGTGAAACACAGAGGATTGTGTGAGGTATGACATATATCCAAAATTAAGCTTAAGTGAGCGTAATATTACAAAAGGAGGAAGGGTGGAGCTACTGATCAGTAAGCACTGATGGCGGAGCGATGACTTCAATCCACCCGTGTCTGTGGGCCAGAACATTTTGTATGTATCAGACTCTTTATAATTGAGAGTAAGTCAATCAATCTGTGATATAGATTGTCTTCCTATACTCACCATTCAGACACAGGTTTCCAATTTTATGTTGGATTAGCTATTCTACTAGGAAAACCTATAACATGCTAACTCGGAATTTTACATTAGGATTGTGTGGCTGGCATCGGATGGACGAAAAAAGAAAAGGAAGAAAAACATAGACAATAAAAGATATAGTTATTTATATTCTTAACACTTCACCCTCTACATGCATACTCCCTTCTAATAAACCGCCTTCCTTGTACCAACCTTGACTTCCCTTCCTTCATGTGAGCTTACTCCAACTTGTTAAACATCACGATTCATTGTTCTTTATTACTACATTCTTTTATATGGAGCTTCTGACTTCACTTCACTCTAAGAAGAGGTAATATGAATTTAATAATAATTCAGAAGTTTTAGTTACGATCGCAAGGTAAGGAAGTTAGGTCCGATATAAAATTACTATCTAAACACTGTAAACGTTGTGCAAAGCTTAGTTCAGTAATGTGATGTTATCATGTAAATAATACTTTAGATTATGATAAGGTTTCTACTGGTGATAGAAGTTGCACCTAATATCTTCCGGAATTTTTTTGGTTGAGATCATGAATCAATTGATGTTAGACCACCGCTGGAAACCTGGAAGCACTGGACGGCCGTTTCGTCCTAGCATGGGACTCCTCAGCAGTGCGCATCCACGATCCCGCGAGCGGGATTCGAACCCAGGACCTACTGGCTTCGCGCCTGAGCACTTAACCATTGGACCACTGAGCCGGCATCTAATGGTGTTAGTGTCTAACATCAACCAATCCACGAAATCGCGCGACCAACTTCCATTGTACTGAGGTAGATACCTATCTCTACCCGACACGGATTAGCTCCACTGGTCACGACTTCTCACTAGAACTCCGAGAATTCCTTCGCGAAGCTAGTCACTAGTGAGCACATGTTAATTATCAGTATGGGGGTTGTGGAGATTGTTAAGTTTTTGGTTGAGATCATGAATCAATTGATGTTAGACCACCGTTGGAAACCTGGAAGCACTGGAATTCTTAAAAATTTCCGTGTATCATACGGTCGTTATTCAATGTTGCTATTGGTTCTGAACTCTGGTTTTGGTATGGCATGCAAAATTGAGTAAACTGATTGGCCAATAACAGACGTGTTGGAAGTTGATATCTGTGTAGAATAAATCATACTGAAAGCGAATCGGATTGTCGAAATTAACAGCATCATCATGAACTTAGTAGACTCACTACTCAGCTGGTTAGACATCCTTAATCACATCAGGAGTATAGGAGGAGAAAGCAGTTAAATTTCCATGTGAGTAATCTCAGTTAAGAAACATAAACGATTAGTGGAAATTGAATTAGATAACGAAACTTGAACTCAGCAGATTAGTACCTACACAAACACGGCTATATATCAATCCAAAATGAACTGAAGGAAACTCTCATCAATTATACGCGTTTCCTAAATCCAGCTGAGGTACAACATACAGGTGATAGGTGGGTTTCCTAAACTTAAATCAAATAAACTTCTTTTGGAACCTACGTTAGTATGTAAACATCAAATGTAACGAGTCTGACTATGACGAATAATTTCATTACGGCTACAACAAAATTTACATTGAGAGTAATTTTTCAGAGGTAGTTATTGACCAGGTAGAAAAAAAAGTGAGTGGGTAAAGCAAGTCATCCGTCAACATAATGAAAGAGTCAACTTTTGACTAGTGGGATTGTAGTAAATATTGATGCACTAGACAGCCATATGAGAGTATTCCTATGGAGAAATTTCTTCAGTCGTGTGGGAATCAAGATCAACCATTTCGAAATGAGTTATTATCAAGCTGAAAGAATGACTGGGAGACTAGATTTTCTCTCCATTTAATAACTTACTAATCGGATCCACAGTGAGGAATACGCCTTACTTCAGATTTTAAACTTTTGATATTCATTTGAATAAAGAATACAATTATCGTTTCATGCAGTTTGTAATGCATAATAGTCAACTAAACAAAGAAATGTGAATGCCAGACATTACAGTAAACGCGAGTGGATTGAAATGTATGATGAAACTAGTTAGAGAAGTCGAATATTACGTAAATCATGATGACCAACATGCATTTATGTACACATGTATGATGTAAATATACTTATGTATAGAACTTAAGTTGAAGTAAGAACAGCGACAAAGTAAATCAGAGTGAAGTGTTCAAAAATGAAACCGTAAGTAAAATAAACAAATACATTAAGCAGAGTAATTGATACGGGTTAACACTAAAAAACTGTATGTGCTTATAGAAATATTTGTATGTTGAGAAATATTTTTGTTAAGATAAGATTAACGGGGGTTAGTAGAGAAAACAGATCAAAGTGGTGAGGCTGTCACCTCTGGGATGAAGTTTCGCACTCGAACAAAACGACAGGGTGGGAAATGTTGGTTGGTTAGTTCTAACACGGTGGTACTTTCACTTTCACTGGATCTGATTTGGAAAGAAACCATTAGTAATAACAAAGATGTGGTTAGATTTATAATTACACACACCTCAATAAAGTACAGAAAGATAAACTAATAAAAACGGTTAACAACATAGGAGGTAACATGAATACTGTGTTTAGAAAGATAACTATGATTGAGGTTTATTTATTGATTTATTTCAACACATAGATATTGGTACAAAGAGGCACCAAATACATAAGCGCCACACAAACCTCATTCTATATGTGAGGGCTATGATACTGCCCGGGTGCTCAGATCGAAGAGAGTGGTTTTCTTAGGGGGACACACCCCGAGCCTTCGACCTGAAGGTCTGATTCACAAGGCAGTGGAGCATTGTAAGGAGATGCAGTCCCATGGAAGCCGGTGACCAACAATTGGTTCATACGCCATTTGTTCCCACAGGATACTGGAGCCCATATGCACCATTGGTTTGGAATCCGGTTAAAGCGCCGGACATTCGCTTTCCATCCTCTCATTTTCGTAAACAACACCCTTGCCACGAGAAGGCAGTGAGTAGGACTTCCCTGGCAGAGGCTATATACGCGTGGCCATGTGAGAGCATTTCGAGAGGGAGAGCGGACTTTCCCTACTCTCGGCCGTACCAGGGCATTTGGGGGCCTATGATTGAGTACCATACAAAATTAACGATTGTATATCATAATCACAGTATAGCTTATATAGAAATTATGTACAGTATACTTGTTGTTTGCTATGTAGTACTAAAAAGAATAGGAATTAGAATTATTTGTTGACTGTTTGAAAACATGGGATTAAGATCATTTGGCATTAAGCATACGAAGTGTCATAATTACGACGGTACGGTACTAGTTTCACTTATTTCTTATCCATTTATTAACCTTGTTTTGTTCCTTAGTAAAAACAATACTCCATAAATCCCACTTTATTATAAAATCCATATATAACTAAAGGAAATCAAGTTGTGCATTCACATCAATTATTTCACGCTTACAAAAATGAAATTGTCAAAAAAAAACAAATTTAACTTGTTAAAATGAGTTAGGTGAATTTGAAATTTCATATTAAGTAGCAAATTTAAACTCCACCTGCCCAATTTAATTTGAAAAGTTCAGTATAATTATTAGCTCTCTTTCATACACACACAAAGTAGCTTAAAGTCAGATACGTGCATCTGTTACTTGGTTAATGGATTGCTAGTATTATTAGTCAGTAATCTAGACGCTTTTGGTTCGAGTTCGGTTGCTAATAAGGACTTTATTCAACTTCTTAATCATTATTCTTGAAAAAAATTAGTTCTTATAGGTTAATATAAGCTAGATAAAAAAAACATTACTAGAATCATTTTACTTACTTATCAAAGGTATGGATGACGTACGAATCCCACAGGAGCTGATTGTGTAGACAACCTTTTTTGTTACCGATTTTAAATTTCTGCAATCCAAAAATATATGCAACTTAGACAAAAGTATCCATTAAGAATATTGATTGAACAATTACTGAAAGCTAGACAATACTGCTTATCAGTTTAGTGCTACAGTACATGATTGAATATATCAACGAAAGATTTAATTTGAACATTGCATGAGGATAATTTTATATAAGAACAGATCCTGTGGTTTATGGGAAGTAAACCAGCACCCATTCTTATATACAGTTATTCCAGGTTGGCCGTACTGTCAAAAAATATCGATTGATTGAAAAAGGTAATGAGAACATGAGAGTAATGGCTAAAAATTTTGGTAAAAGTGATGCACTAAATAGTAACACATGAAAAATACCATTGACGGATCTATATGCATTAGAAGTAAGGTATGTTTTCGCCAAGACAAATGTTTACATGGAAGATTTCCTATTGTGTAAAACGAGGTTGCGTACTGACACTCTGAAATTTGTTGAGCAAGTTTACTAAAATAAGGGCGCGCGCAAAAGCACATAGACCAACGCAAATTTTACTTTGAAGACACAATTTGATTTATCTAATTGTGTAAATTCAAATAGTATGCGATATCGCACGACTAGCATCATATCAATCTATTACCTATAATCTTCTACAACCAGTTTGATGTGTGTTGCCAACTCGTTAAACCTTTTTATATGCTACTTCTGAATTCCTGCGACGAACAGTTTGATATCCAGTTTATTCTGGTTGTATTCCTCGTGTAGAGCGTCAATCAATTTTTATATGTTCAGAGGAGCGGGGTTGTAGTAGGTTGTTTAAGGTTATTATGCTACTCCTCTATTAGATCTTTCACGAAGGAACTGTAGACCTGTATCGCTGCGGTTTTTGCGCCTTATAAATCTTCTGATCCAGATTCAAAATAATTTTAGTTGTTGAGATCATCAGTCAAATGAAGCTAGACCACCATGGAAAACTTGGGAGCCGTTTCGTCCTACTGTGGAACTCCTCAGCAGTGCGCATCCACGATCTCGCCTCGCGACCACTTTCTACGTGAAACAGTGAATCTGTTAGACTGTCATATGCAGTTATATCTACAACCAGCAAGATCTTCAGGACAGAAACATTTACCGTTTCTGGATTTTCGAATTTTTATTATAATAATAAGAAAGGCTAGAACCGGGTAAGTAATAGTGAGGTTAGACGCAGGGTATCAAGGAATGATGGTAAATCAGTTGATGAGGTTGTGAATCTTCATCGACTAAGATGGTTGGGCCACGTGTTGCGTATGCCTGAACACCGATTACCATGACGTGCAATGCTAACCGGTGTTGGAGATGGTTGGAAGAAAGTCAGGGGCGGCCAAAGCAAAATGTGGCATCAGTGCTTGATTTCACTAACTTTTAGTCTGAGCCATGTTGGTAGATGCATACTACTTGGTTGGGGTCCGCGTGGCTATCGTAACCAATGGTTGGAGATTCTTGGTGACATGGCTTAGAATCGATTACAATGGCGTCGTTGTATACAATCTCTGTCTTCCCTTAAACCAAGAGATTAAATTCGCTTCATATCTTCCTTTCTACGAACTAATTCTTTCTTCCTGTACTATATCCTTATTGCAATCTTTCTTTTATCTATTACCACCTCTAAATTAACTACTTTTACGAATCCGGTGTCCACCTTGTTGTATTAATGAGGTATGGCAATTTGAACCGATGCATATATGTGCCTGGTCCTACGTTGTAGCTGCCTGACTGACTGAACTTGCTAGTTAAGGAATTTGGATTAGCAACTAAGATAAAGAATACGTAGAGATAATCACTGTAAGAGTGAAGTTAGGTTACATCTACAAATAAGATCTTTGTCAAATTAACTGCTTAATTTTAAATTTTTTGCCAATTAGTCGATATAAACGTAAGTTTATTGTTTTTCAGATTAAACAGTGCCCGATCTAATCTGATTGACAAATAACCTGATTGCTTTTTCATCAGTGCAAACAAAACTTTGGGACTTTCTAGTTATTTAACGACTGGGATAAAGTACGTACCTGTTATTGTGAAAAGAAACACTGGTTTGTACAAACTAATTAACACACAACTTGAACGCAAATAGTTATTTAGTTGGAAAGACCTGACATCTTCAAAACTTTACACTTTTAACAAGCAGTGATGATAAAACATCGGGTTATTAACTCATTCATTCTCTATCTCTCATCCACACGCCCTCATTTTGCTTATTTTCTTCACATATGATGATTTGGATTGAACTAGTCTTCAATAAAATGATTAATATTCAACCAGTATAGAAATACAACTTACAGAAAATAATCATTGTTAATTATATAAATTTTGTACAACACTAAAATATGAGTGAGAACTTAGTAGCCGAACCAATTAGCTTTCACAATCATTGACTTTAAGGTTTGGATATCAAATATAGGCCATATCTACTTCGATCTGAACTACCTACCATACATCAGGTGGTGATTTAAAACCGAATACACTCTAATTATCTAGTCGTACAGTAGAAAAAAAATAACAACAAACCTTAAATAGTGTTTGAATCTCCAACATATACTAAGTAGACCTTCAGCTGTATTTTTCTTACAAAAAATAATACACAGACTTACTATTGTGAACGTAACTGTTAACTGTGGAGCAACAGGACCCAAGTGTTGGCGTCTCCTTATTGGGGGTCGATTTTGTTTATCGGAAAATTGATGTAAAGTGCACACAATCTGGAAATAAACAAGAAAGAAGTAACAAAATTAGGGAACGGATACATTAAACGAGATTATAATGGTTAGTGAACAAAATGAAAAAGTAGTTTTTTATGTAGTGTGTGCGGTAAAGCTTGGACTTGAGAACAAAATTCAGATATTTAAGGGATATTTTAAAGTAGTATTGTTTGTCTGGAGTTTATTGCAGATTTTTACAAGTCAGTGTATTAAATCAACTTGATCTTGATACGATATATAATCCCAGTTGTTTAGGTATGACTAGTGTGTAGCTCACAATCTACTTGTGTCTATATGAATGCAAAGATGTAACATATTTAATTCAATTGCTGAAAAATTCCCATTATATTCAAAACACAATTGTATGAACGAAGAATATTCTTTTCAATAATTTCTCATCAGCCCCAACATTAACGATTTTACTTATATAACAAACAATTCCTGATTCACATACTACAATTTCCAAATGATGTATTTTGCCTTAAATCTGGCCAATTTTATGGATTATTAATCTGGATTTATAATTGTAGAACCTGATGAGAAATTATTGAAAAGAATATTCTTCGTTCATACAATTGTGTTTTGAATACTTAATTCAATTTGAAATGGTTTGGATTATCCCGTTGTTTATATTTTTGATTGAAATTTGATTAGTTTTGGTCTCAGTAGTCAAGTGTATAACGCGATGTAGTTTGAAGCGAATCGTGCTGGGTTCGAGTGCCCGAGTAAACATCAAATCTGGGTTGCAGGTGCAACCAGCTAACGACCCCCAAATAGGACAAAACGCACGTTCTGGATTCCACTACCAGCCACATCCTATCTATTCTGTGTAATTAAACAATAGTTCACCTAAAAACCATTTAATTATTCTGAATATCTCGACAAAGAATGCGAATAAAGATAACAGCTAAACTGATCAATTAGACTATCAATACTCCTAATTCTGTAATTTCTGGGCGCATAGTTATAAAGGTAGGTGTATAAAATAATAAAATTTTGCTAAGTTCAACACGATCGATAACTGCAAGTTAAATATCTCCCATGGTTTAGTCTGCTGATTGGTACTTTCAACACTTGTTTAATCGAATTATTTTGAGAAATAAGAGCACCATTGCTTACAAGTTGCCATTGGACATGTTATAGGCAATCGCAGTGTCATAAATAGTATTTATGAGTAGTGATTTCTTGAATAGGCGAGGACGAACTTGACGAAACTAGAAATTACTCTATTAGTATAAACGTGTTTACAGTAGGAATGAAGTGGTTTGACGGTTAAAGCATTCGATTTACTATTGATAAGATGTTCGAACCTTGCTCCATCAACATTGATTTGGACAGACCATTAGTATCAGTAGTCCTCATGAAAACCATGTGGCTTAAAGACGAGGGCATACACGCATGTACTTGGTTAGCAGGTTACACTGACAACGGTAAGCTTTCCATGCATGGTAGCGAAGACGGAAACTACGTGATTACGTCCTTCTTTAGGATATTTTTGTTGGATCAGCTGTCACCACCTTACTACAACTCAGAGTTGTCCCACAACAATAGAATAACAGATAACTATTGTTGATTTATGCCGGTAATAAGAATAATGATAGTCAACTTACAGAATCATGATCATACCATTTATACGTTCCCTTCAATAATGTACCAGAAACAGCTGTTTTCATAACTGCTTCGGAATTGGAATTATTATTGTTATTATTTCCAACTAAACTGACATCCACAGATGATGACAAGGACTGATGTGATTTACTTAAAACTGCCACAATTGAAGATGGATCTGATGGCGCAGTGAACATGCTGATCTGATTTGATGAAACATGAAAACGTATACCACGATAATAAACAACTTTAAATACAGGTTTATAAGAAGAGCCTATTTCCGGTTCTCCTGTTCTAACATAGGTTACACGACAAAGATAACATCCTAGGAAAACATAACATTAAAAGAGGAGAAAAGAGACAAAATATCAGATTTTCACTGACATTTAATTGCAGTTTTACTGCAAGAAATACAGTACGGACAAATGTAAAGAAATGTTACAAAGCAAACTATAAAGTGTTTACTACGTATACTATGTGAATCGAATGAAGGCTGGTATCAGGGAGTACACTTTATTAGTGTATACGGGACAATTTTCAGATTTAAACTAGCGGAATATTTCACTGATGAAGATTAGTTTATCAGTAGAGTTTGATTAATTAATTTGCATATTACTATTTGGATTAAGGAATTAAGGCTACTCGTAATTCAAAAGGTTGGAGAATATTAAATTTGTCACATTCGCTGTAAAAGTGCTTAATAAATATAAATAATTTTGAAACTATGGTGATGAATAGCAATAATAGTAGTAGTTTGAACTCGGTTAGCAGGTACAAGTGGTCTATATATGCTGTTGAGTCAAATTTAACTTATTACAACGATAAGGCTTGGATACTCATGCTGAAACTGGTGAAAAAAGAATACCTTTTGAAAGTGATTATAGAATACAGAGACTAACATGCGTGACTTGGATGTTACAAAATAGATAGAGAATAATACTAATCATAGTGCGAGACAGCATACTATTAGAAAGTGTGTGGTTTATTTTAGACTGAACAATTCTGATAAAGTTGTTAAGTGTGAGGCATATTTAAAAAAAAACACGATTAGTGACTGAAGTCGTTAGTTATCTTAACACGAATAATTATATGTATCTCATTAAAAGAAAGCTCTTGGAAAAAAGCAACTGAAAACCGGTTTGAATATTTGATAATAGTGATTACTGAATTAGGTCGGTAGTCTAATGTTGAATACCCAATTAATAAACAAACTATCATCAAAGTGTGTGCATAGGTTTTTTTGTAACACATGGTCTGTTAATCGGAGAAATAAGTCAGCATATCAATAAATCATCATGATAAATTACTGATTGCAGTATGTATAATTCAGGTGAAGCAACCGTAGACCATCATTTAATGAACTGACTTTGACAGTATATGAATGTAGTAATACATTTAACCGAAATAGGCACTTAATATTTATTTAGCAAACGATTATTTTGTAAATGGTCATTCATAATGAGAATTAGACGTTAGATTTAAATGTGGTTAATTTGGAAATCCATTGAAACGGTTTATTGTTTTCACTTGTAAATTATTTGTAGTTCTGCATTTTAAAATTAACTTTTTGGTTGCAATAAAAACTAGTGTGTTTAATCAGTCATGTGTGAATACTGTTAACCGTAATATGAAACCTGCAATGTCTAGACATTACGAATGTAACCATTTTTGACAAGCATTTGAAAAATCAGTTTCATGAAGTGTAAATGAACAAGCCTACGTCGTCTGACTGACTCAAAAAATATCTATCGACATTAAACGTATAAATATGAATAAGGTCAACTGTATCAATGAACATTTAAAATGTTATTATTATTTTTTGTCCTTATTATTATTATTATTATTATTATGTCAATTGACAAGATTCAATTCCCATACTATGTATTTCATTGACACAAATTTTTTGCATTTTAAATGTTCCTATAATGCTCTTCCACTTATTGTGACTGAACACTTTACTGCAAATAATCCAGGCCATTATTGAATGACCTTTCTAATTTGCAAATATTACAATTTGTAAGTATATATATATATATATCGTAACAGATGTAAACGTTAACCATTGTTAACACATTACATTGTCAAATTCATTAATGTCATGCCTTATTTTTGGCCTTTATAAAATATTAAAATTATGGGCTTATAACTGTATAGTGTGATGATGAAGTTAATGAAAACGAATTGTCGCTACACTATTTTTTATTTTTGAAAATATTCTACGACAATTTTTATGACTGCTACAATCACATGGTAGCAGTCATTAATAATTATATAGCTGTGCAAATGAATACGTTGATATAATCAGTAGTTATTGGCGTTGTTGGTAGTCTACCGTGAACAATGAAGGCATGAAGTGAACTGCATTGTTCCTTCGACATTCGCCTGACTAACGCTATCACTGCATTCTTCATGCTTGGCTGACTCAATTGCATTGGGAAATAATTTTCAACTGCAATATGAGTCAGATAACCAACATAGTGTAACCACCTGTCACAAATTGACTGTACGTTCACATCGGTGTTACTGTGTGTGCAGTAAGCTAATATGTGACGACATGGTATTCCGTTTTCAATGAAGAATGGACACGAGCACCGGCTGGTATCGATGTGTACGTAGTACGTCCCCGTGGCGTCCATAGCGGTGAATAAATCTTCTGACAATGCAGACTGCGTTATAGGAATGCGAAGGTGTCGCTTCAGTAGTTGACAGGCAACTGGTGTCAGTCGTTCCTGAAGTCGACGTACTTCCAGCTCCTCACCAATATCGGCTTTCCCCCGACAATCCATTGAATATTTATGTAACCTTGCTTCCATCTAATATCCAGTACGAAGCAGCACATTGAAAATGGATCTGAGAACCGGTGTTTTTCTATTAAGGTGATACATCTTCAAGACTCGGTGACTGGTCTCGACGAAGTTCGTATTGTTTAGTTCAAAGAGAGTGGATGGCGGTCGAAAAGCAGTGGACCATTTGTGTTTCTGTGGTAGAAGGTGGTCTCTGACGTATCTACCAAACGTTCCGTCAGACATTTCGATTAACGAAAGTACGTTGTTAAAACTACAAAATCATGTTATGTAGATTTTGATTTACTTTTCAACCGTTCGAGTGAACATGAGGCGAAAGAATAGTTGTACAATTTCTGATCGCACCCTCTACAATAACGGTTACTGGGTTAATGTTAATGAACGAAACACTTACCCTCTTTATCACATTCCGAACAAGGTGTACGCGACACAAAATATGGTGCGCATCCGGATACACCTGCGTAATAGCAGCAGCAATTGCAGGTGAATCATCGGTCACAATGCCTACCAGCTGTCGACTGTTGGTACACCGTTGGGAAAAACGCAGGAACGCAGAAATGAATGTCGACGTTTCGCGACTTAAAAAGGCAATGCACATGGGTATTGCCTTAAAATTCATATCCAGGGTAACAATTTGATATAAATGGACGTTCTCGTTATTTGTTTTGTACGTCCCGTCAAAACCAATTACGTCACAAAAGTGACCGGCCAAATTCAATTGCTAAGCAGTCATGAAGAAGAAATACGATAGACAGTTCTCACAGTCCAACTCGTATTCGCAAAGTCCACCCAAGGATGTTATGTGAGCTTTCGATTTCCCGTAATCACCTATAGTGTACATTATAAATTGGCAAATTGCGTACCAGAAAGGTTCGCGTGTGAGAACACTTTGTACTGCATATTACAGACATCTTGATCAGTCAGACGTTTCCCATAAGATTGGTAAGCAAAATTCTTTATGTGGAATGAAGCGGTACCGGAAATCAGCAGCGGTCTCACAGTTTCAAACTCTTCATCTGTTAACCTGCGCACCCATGAATTACCTTGGTACCTCAGGGAATTGCACTCGTGATTGTGATGCACATATCCACGTACAACAGTCCAATAGCCGTCTATAATCTTACAAAACATGAAGGCCGGACATTGGGTGTTCATAGAAGCCCTTCGTTAAAAAAATTATAGAACCTCCGTCTAATACGTTGTGACGAACCGCTAGATCTTATACGCCCATTTCGCCAACACACAAATGTACGATTTTTGATCTCTGCCAATATGCGAATCTCTCACTACATAATGACTGTAAGTCAATCTTTCAAAATTTGTGATAGTGGTCTTTAACGCTTCAACCGATGGAAACGCAACCAGAAACAAGGTAGTCAAAAATACTTCCTCCATTTCCGTTACGTGAGAAACACCAGCGTTTGTACTCGGCACGTTACTCTGGTCCATAATGACGACTGAAATTGTGCTTCGTCAACAAGTACTGATAATTTATAACAATTTTCAAGACATAACTAACCAATTAAATCTATTTTTTGAAACTAGCCATTTCATTGGACGAAACACGGGATGAAAAATATTGTAATTTGGGGGTGGAAATTTTTTTTATTGGGGTGGGTTTTTTTTATAAAAAAATGGCCGGTCGGACAATATTATTCGATAAAGTTAGGGGGAAGATGAATGGAATAACTGCAATATTTTATACATTTTGAAAAGATAGACGCTACATATTTGCTAAAAAAAGATACACTAAGCAATTTAAGTATGAAAACCTCTAATTTGCTTTTCTGTTTAGTAACTATCCAGCAGTATTACTGTTCCTGTGTGGTGTGTGCTAGTGATGTCGATAGATATAATTAGTATGTATCATCAATGGAAAGTGAAATACCTGGCAGCAGAAGGTTAAGAAGATCGAAGAGAAGAGAACGAGAACAGAGAATGATTAGTTTTGGACCGAAGGAACAATCAAGTCTGAGATAATTGATTGACATTTTGCAAATGAAGTATTTATTGTATGGTTCTCAGATTTTACTAAGAAATTCTGCAATTTTGTATTCAAATACATTCAATTGTCCCCACTTGTGTTCTTGTTCATTACACCTGGTCTGTAGTGTATATTGTAAGATTGTATAGTAATAAATTCATTTTCTTAAAAAAGAAATTAGTATAAACAGCCGATTTAAGTCTGCTTGCTATAACTGGTAATTGTGTAAAATAAAGTAGTGTAATCGTAATGATGACGTCTACCCAGACTCCTTAACAGACTAACAAGTGGAAGAATTACACGAACTACTAATATTTAAAAATGTTGAACAATAATATTAGGATCTGGTAAATGTTTGATGGAAGGAATAAATATGAGGTTTATATAAGCTAAGTCCAATTCAAAAAGAAAACGAAAGACCCCAGGCAGACAAATCATACCATGATATAAAACTTGTGGTCGATAAATAGCCATTTCACGCCATGAAGTGTAATTCATTGAGGATAAATAATTAAGTTGATTATTACAACCAATATTATTATTGTCATATGTTAGCCATACTGGCCATAATTTGAAACAAATATCTCTCCATATTGAATTATCATTAGCCAACAGATAGAAACCACGACATACCTGTTGATAATTCAAAAAAGAAGTAATAAAGACGGAAGAAGTTAAGAAATAATAAAGACTAGGTTTAAAGAGTATGCAATTAAATAGGTTGAAGCATACAAGATTGGATGTAAAGTCCTATATGCAACAGGTTATTTTTACCAACATATACCTGGATGAGTTATAATCTGCAATGAAAATCGAACATTGTGATTGAGAAATGTGATTCGCCTATTGGAGTTATTAATGCTGATTATATGGCAAAGTTGAGTTTGTCAGATAACTGGAACGAAATTATGGTGGAATTTCACGATTCCGTTTTATACCCGTTTGTGGTATTTCTTAGGTTGCGTTATGAACATTAAAAAACAGATTTAAATCCCAGCAAACTTATACACAAAGATTATTTGAGCAATTAAATATTAATAATCATAATAAAAGTGATTATAATTAGTTGGTGTCAACGTATTCGCCTTAATAAGAAACACTAGAAGTCCTTGTGTCCTATCTTGTTTAGATTTGATTCACGTTTATTAACTGAACAGCTGGAGGAATCTGAAGGGTTAATCTGCGCGCTTACGAAGTTTAGGAACGCTCCTATAGTCTCAGATAAAACCATCAATCAAAGGCTTACGCAAAAGCGCACCTCAAATGAAAAAACGATGTAGAGATTACACTGAATCCCGTTGCCTCAGCAGCAGGAAAATAACCTATCTCATGTCAACCGATATTCCGAAGATTGCTAACTTACCACTTATACCCGTAGTGACCTCAGATAGCCAATATATACCCAATGTAGATTTTAATCTGATATCTCCTAGTCTAACATTAGAAGTGCGTACCCAAATATCTAGTTCTAACGTAAAAGCTCTTCAAAATACTGTTAAAATTAAAGTCTATACCATGTAGGAAGAAAGTCTGTATAAAACTGTCTGGTTTCAAAACTAATACCAAAAATATTACAATTGCTCCACCATACAAAAATATATTCCCGACACCCTGTTTTACTCTACTAGTCGTAGGGGTGGTTATATGGAGACACTCAGCGCAAACGACGCACAAAACGGGCACCACAACCATTGTGTAAGCAGGCTTAATATCAGACAGACTTCAAGGAACCATTACTCCGAAACTTTTATGTACTGAATCTGCAAGATATAACTTTTCTCATCACTTTCACGATAGACAAGACGGACTAGGAGGTTACGCACCATTAACTGAACCCTAACGAGTACGTGACTTTCGCGACTGTCTGCCAAGTCAACTTCAGCAAATAAATCTACCTTATCAAAATAAAGATTTTTGGCCTTCAAAAATCCTTGATCCCTCTAGCATTAGTTTGTTCAAGCTGTAACCCATATGATCAAACACCAACACTGAACCACAGTCCAGTCACCTCTAAAATACAAAACATAGATAAGGACGTTCTCGTTTTTTTTAATTCTACACCTCCTTTTTTAACTTATGAAACTTATCGACATGGTTAGCCACCAACGTCTTATAGATAAAATCGCATGTTACGGGGCCCAAAACACTCCGCTCGCTTGGTTTGATTCCTCTTTTAGCCACCGACATCAAATAGATAGAATTAACTCTTCCTTGTCGGAAGCTGACCTTGTCAGAAGTGGTGTAACACGAAGCAGTGTCTTAGACCCTTTCTCTTATTTTAGTTTATATCAATGATATTTGTGGATGTATTTGTGCGGGTAAGCCCCTTCTGTAAGCAGATGATCTTAAAGTATTGCATTCATTTTCTTTACATGAGCTGAACAATATACAAAATTGTATAAGCATGGAGCTTAACAAGGTAGCGCAATGGTGCTTAAAATGGGAGCTGGAGCTTAACACAACTAAATGTGGATGGATATGCTTCAGTAATACATCACTCGACTTGGATCTTACCATAAATTGTGAGGTGTTATCTAAGTTACATACAGTAGTAGACTTGGGACTCCTGCGATTTGTCGTTTACAGAACAGGTATTGAAACAAACCTCCTTGTCTCAACTTTTTATGGGTTGCATAACTCGGAACTTTTATAACAACGAGTCACGTATCTTGTTGTACAAAGTTCGTGTTCGACCACTCCTAGAATATGTCATGTTCATTCTTAGTAGTGTGCACACAAAAGACAAAATTAAGGTTGGAGTTAGTACATAAATGATTTACTCTTGGAATTCTTGGAACTGGTTGTAACTTGAATCTTAATTCCATATGTAATAAACTTGGGTTCGACTCAGTATGGAAGAGGAGACTCAAACAAAACATAATATGTTTCTTCAAAATACTTAATAGACTATCCTTTACATCCAATCGAGTAATTCAATACGCAGAAACTTCTAGTTACATCTGCAACTCCTTGTCATTAGTGAAACAAATCCACTTTAAATCATCTTTCCATATGAATTACTTAAAATGTAAAATTTACAGGCTCTGGAATAATCTGCCACAATCCATCCGTAAGATAAAATTACTCCCATCGTTTGTTCGCTGCATTGAAGCATACTGCTCCTCAGAAAATGCATTAAATGTTCTAGCACCTGTAAATGTATCTTATTCCACAAGTGAGATTATGGGAACTTTAAATATTTAGTCATTCTTGTTATAGAATCCACTAAGTAAACCAACTATTTGCTGTTAAATCCCATTAACACCGGCCTTGATAACCTTATCTAATTTCAGTATCTTATGAAGTGTGATCAATAAACGAACCCAGTAATGACGGCAGGAAACGCCCACTACCACATTAACTTTCTTTGAACTTGTATGGCTATGCTTCGCTTATTCACCGATCATAATTTTATGTTTACCACGAACGATATAAAGTTCGTTGACTGATTTTTTCTATGCTCTAGTTACTGTTCGGTATGTTGTTTATGTCTCTTTTCGCTGTTTGATGGACTGCATGAAATTCGATAATGCAATGAGTAAAGGTTATCAGAATTATGTAATACATTTCGAACAATCTGATAACACATATACCTGTTAAGACATTTTTATATGAAAACTAAGTGATCAACTATTATTTATTTTAACACATATATATTGGTACAAAGAGGCACCAAATACATAAGCGCCACACAAACCTCATTCTATATGTGAGGGCTATGATACTGCCCAGGTGCTCAGATCGAAGCGAGTGGTTTTCTTAGGGGGCCACACCCCGAGCCTTCGACCTGAAGGTCTGATCCACAAGGCAGTGGAGCATCGTAAGGAGATGCAGCCCCATGGAAGCCGGTGACCAACAATTGGTTCATACGCCATTTGTTCCCGCAGGATACTGGAGCCCATGTGCACCAGTGGTTTGGAATCAGGGTTTCCCAACTCCCCAAGGTGGACTCCCCATGTCCACCATCCCGATTAAAGCGCCGGACATTCGCTTTTCGTCCTCTAGATTTCGTAAACAACACCCCTGCTACGAGAAGGCAATAAGTAGGACTTCCCTGGGAGAGGCCATATACGAGTGTCCATGTGAGAGCATTTCGAGAGGGAGAGCGGACTCTCCCCACTCTCGGCCGTACCAGGGTATTTGGGGGCAAATGGTCAACTAGGCAGGTTAAGGGTAAGCCGTAACTAAGAAAAATAAAGTACACAAAAACAATGTGATAATCATCCTGTATAATAAATCAATATTTCCAGGGTAGGTTAAGGTTAAGACCACATTGTTTCTGAACACATAAAGGAGGTTTCAGTTTCCGTATAGCTGAGGCTTTTGTACAACACTACAAATGCTGACTTGATATCAACCTTACGACCAGTCTCAACCACATTGTTTTTGTGCACCTTATTTTTTTGTTATGGCTTACCTTTAAACCTATCTAGTTGATCATTTAGTTTTCATATAAAAATGTCCTAAAAAGTATATGTGATCAGATTGTTCGAGATGTGTTGGGTGTGGCCCCCTAAGAAAACCACCTGCTTCGGTTTGGGCACCCGGGCAGTATCACAGCCCTCAAACATATCAAATGAGATTTATGTGGTGCATATGTAATTGGTGCTTGCGTGTACCAATATCTGTGTTAAAATAAATAAATAATAAATAGATGTGTTGCGCAAATATATCACATAATTCTGATAACCTCTGTCTTCTCACTGCATTATCGAAATTTATCAAAGGGACTTAGGTCAAGTGACATTTTTACAATGATGAAAATAGACCTTTCAAAAACTTACACAAGATAAAACACCTAGAACACGTATATTTAGATGGCTGCCAATGGTCCATCGAATTATTCTCAAAAGCAGTTCGAATGGCAAAACTGATATATGTGTTGACTGAGATATAAAAAAGGAGGGGAAAAAAGTAATAATAATGACTAGATTAAGATTCAATGATGTCAAATGATTTTAGAAAAAAGTGCAAAATAGCATCACAGTTAAGTACGAATATATTTCAACGCGGTATTACAAGAGTGAGGAAACCGACTAGGAGTTTGACTTAACTTTGATCATTCAATAAACCGACTTTGAAGTTAACATTAAGATCTTTCTTATCATCACTCAAATTCAACTGGAAAAAAAACTGGTGATTATTGACCATTGACAAATGGAGACGTTTTCTTGGTAGAAAATCATGAAAGCAGGGCAGCCCAAACAAATTGCCTCCATCCTCGTGCTGGTTATGCGGTGAATGGCATTACAAGAAGTTTTGTCCATATAAAAACTACCGTTGCATTAAATGTCAGCATAAAGGACATAAGGAATCCTGTTGTAAAAGGAAAATGTATCGTCGTCGCTCACCGCGATTTTATTCCAGGAGACATAAACCGCACACTCCAACCAGTCAAGTAACGGCAGCACACACGGAAACAGAATACAGTCGATAAAAATATGCAACCATCAAGGTCGACGGCCACAGCACCCACCTGCTTCCAACATTACACTCATCAGCCGAAAAACCTGGAAGAATGATGGAAAACCCCCGGTGCTCCCAACAACCGAGTTAGCCCACAGTACATCTGGTGGGAAATTAAATATTGTTGGAGGTATGCTGTGTCGTTTCAAAAGAAAATGCAAAGACGAGAGCAACATCAAATCTCACAGAACGTCCAGGACTAGATTTGCTGGGTCTAGACTTATTAGAAAAGCTACAGTTAGCAAATCACCCCACTATTCATATTTGCAGTCGAGTGAGGACTGACGAACCTTCTTGAGCATGCCTAAACAAAGCACTTGAAGCCCATCAGTACCCTTCGCCTTTACCAGAAAACTTATTTACGAAACTGAATGAGGGAGAGTATTTCGCAAAATTGTATTTATCAGAAGCTTATTTACGGATTCCAGTAGCTGAGGAGTGCAAGCATTACCTGACTATAAACACACACAAAGGTTTGTTCCGACATAAGACTTCCTTTTGAAGTAAAGACAGTCCCTTCAATCTTCCAACAAGTTATGGACACTATGCTGCAAGATATTCTTGGTACTGCGGCCTATCTGGATGATATATTTATCATGGGTACAGACTATGTTGACTTAGGGAAGGTAGATATGGTTCTCAGAGACATAGCAGATTATGTTTTCAGATAACATGCTGAGAAATGTGATTTGTACGTAGAGCAAGTGAGCTATCTGAGATTCTTAGTCGATAAAAATGGAAGAAAACCTGATCCAGGAAATATCGGGGAGATCAAAACCATGCCTCCACCGACAGATGTATTCACTTTACGTTCCTTCTTGGAAATGGTTAACCATTATGGTGTTTTTTCCAGACCTGCATCGTCTGCGTGCCCCGCTGAATTGTTTACTAACAAAGAATACCAAATTGATCAGGCCAACAGAATGTCAAGTATTCCTAGAACTAAAACAGCTCCTAGCATTAAACCTTCTACTTAAGCATTATGATCCAGCCCTTACCATTGTGATCATAGCAGATGAATCAAAGATAGCGGTTGCCCATGCTGCATGATTACTGACAACGACAGGAAGGAACTATAGTCAGATGGAGAAGGAAGCCCTCTCCATTATCTTTGCTGTGGGGAGGTTTCACAAGATGCTACTCGGCAGACAGTTTACGTTGATAAAAGACCACAAACCTCTACTAGTAGTTTTTGGATCTAGAAAGAGTATCTTTGTTTATACAGCAAACCGTTTACAACGATGGAAAAATATACTGATATGTTATGATTTCAAGATAGTGTCGACCGACAACGGGTTTTAGACAGGCAGATATTCGCTGAAGATTAATTGGTTCCCATATAAAACACGAAGAAAAAATGGTTTTAGCTGCCATAGAAGCTGAGGCCGAAGTTTGCAGATGCGGATTCCGAAATGCCGGTCACATTCGAAGCGCAAATTAACCTGAAAGCTAAGTCCTTAATATAACTTATTTCAAACGCGAATGCATAATCTACCAATGATTTTGATATTCTTTGAGAGACTGTTAGAGAAACTATTGTCAGCTAATCAAGAACACTGAATAACTTTTGTTAGTGAGAAAAATTGAATGAATGAGCTTAAACTCTTATTGTTACAGTTATACCGCGATATAAGTTTAAATACAGTATCGCGAGAAATATTTATCAGTTATCTTTAGCAAAGAACAGTTATAGAGAAACTTGCATGTTTACGCAACTTCGTAAATAATCCTTAGAGTGAAAAGATAGTTATTCATACCTCTAATTAGTTCGTAGAAAAAAAACTTCAGTTATCATTCATCTATAAGTAACAAAACTTGTAAACTACAAATTATACCCAACATTAATCTTTTTTACGCCGTAACATGCTCAACAATTATTGGGAGACTATTCGTGAAACCATGTTTAGTTAGACTGTTGCTCGTCATCCCCGATTGAGACTGATTTAGAAAAATTCAAATAACTGGAGAGAACAAGTTAGTAATGAATGTGAATGGTAAATTTGTCCTGCTATGTGCCTTGATTTCCTTTCAGGTGAGTCAAATATGGTGTCATTTTGCTCGAATACAAGACATATTTATTGGTAATGAAATACTTACGAAGCTACATTTGTGCATCGGTTGTAGATAGAAACCATTATACCCAGAATCGTGACGTATGCATTTTGTGAATGCATTGCACAAATTCGCTTCTTCTCTGGATATTTTGACTGTCAAGTGGAATAAAATAAAAACGTTCAGGAAATAAGAAAAAAATATTTTAGTGAATCATGTGGAATTAAAAGAAAAAACCATAATAAGGCCAGTACTGGATGCTAATGATGTGTTTTGAACCAATAACGACAACTCCTAGTTCCGATGTGGTTTTTAAGGATATGACACTCTTAGCAAATACAAACGATGAACAGTATATGTTCAGACCAAGAGTTTAGCTTTTTAAAACATGATACTGCGTTTCGTCATCAACACAGATCTCAGACTAGAAGTTGCAATATTTAGCACTCCAATCGGAAACACTACTGAATGGATATCTAATTAGAATACAAACAATTGGAAGCCAAAAAATTCTTATTTTCTATTACTAATTTCCGCATTGCGAATAGTAAATAAATCAGATGTCAGAACTAAAATCCTTTAGGGAACATAGAACTAAGCAGTCGATAATACAATGGCTGGAATGCAGCTTGTGTATTGGACAAAAGTGAACTCAAGTAATAAATGATCAGTGCAGCAGTTAACAGGAAATCTGTAAAACTGTTCAAATCTATGGATATAAAGATCTCTATTAGTTGATTATGTTCGTTTTATGATAATCATACAAGAAAACGAAGTGTAAACCCAGGGAATCGTTAATTAAGCACTGGACAAAAACGGAACAATTGTACTTTACGAAAAAGTATCAAACGAAGTAGTGAGAATGAAAACTTGGTATCTTCAACTGCATATGATAAAATAGGACCTAAAATAAAGGGTTACAGTTATTGGAATTCGTTCAGTGTACTTGATATCTTTAACTAAAAGGACCGTATTTAATCTTCTGAATCTAATATCACGAACATTTGGCCAATAATTAATGCAGTTACTGTACAACTAAACATTTCATGAGGTTTTCAGATTGAGGTTGTTGAGATTGTTGAATTTCATCGAAATTATGAGTCGATTACTGCTAGACTATCATTTAAAACGTGGAATCACAGGACGGCCATTTAGTCCTAGTGTGGGACTTCTGAGAAGTTGTGTTTTAATGTGACATAATGATACGATACAATCTCATTCTGCCTACTTCAAATTCGAATTCTTGATCGTGCCTTGTCAGAGTTCTAGTCTATTTGGGATTAAAATTAATTCGTCAAACTATTTCAAATTCACACTTAGCATTGCTGTAAACAGGGACTCTAATAATCTCTTAAAATTTTATACCTGCACGTCACTGGGAAAAGTGGAAGACCATTTAGAATACCTCAGGGCTTGATGTTCATCACATCACTTTAGCACATTTCATAACTACTGTTTATAAAGAAGCCTACAGTTTGTTAGGGAGTTTTGTATGTATTGCTAAATCTAATCTACATCCGCTTAGTAAAATGAAAAGATTACTAACCAATCATTTTCACGTGAAAATTACAGTTCAACAAATCAGTTCGGGTTCTAAATAAGATGATCTGAGATTTCTTACAAATGTTTTCAATGGAAGACTGTAAGTGCAATGTAAGTGAACGGATAAAGATCTAAATTCGACACCGCACGATTGTTATTATACATGATTCTAAACTGTAGATGTAACTTTCACAAATTACATAAGTAAACAAACCCACTAACAGGATTCAACCTTTCCAAAAAAATCGCAAGTTACCATTCTAAGCTTTATATATTCTCTTTTCGAAGTATTTCTATGATTGTAAGTGGGTAAATACTAAAAAACTTTATGCGGTTCATTTTGTTACTGCACTCAACCATTGTGTTCTTAGTCGTAGTGATTTTATCACTTTTTCTCTTTGGTAAACATACAGGTAAAATTCTTCGGTTGTTCAATACTACATAGAACACCGTTCCTATGTTCCCTAGGCCTGTCATTTTGGTGTGGGTGCAATCTTCGAAATTTAGTTTCAACAATATGATCATTGATTTAAGTCTTACTTTCTCAACCAAGATTTGTGCAGCCATATACCACTATTTCTCATAGATGTGGTGCATCTCTTGGTACATAAACTTCTACAATAATGGCAGTATACTAGTCAAAATGTTCAGTTATATATCTTTTGCTATGCCAACTAACAAAAATCGATCGATACACACAACCTCCATTACAGCCAGTCTCAGTAACCGCAGTAGGTGATCTATCGCCGCTTTCATAGACGGCGAGAGGTAACCAGTACCTGCTAGTGATGACAGAGCATGCAACACATTGGATAGACGCAGTAACCATTCCAGACCAGTGGGCAAAGACAGTAACCGAGGTAGTAATCCGGCATACTGTAGCGTGTCACGGAATATCGACGATGATCTCGGAAGTTACGCTTGTACCAACCAGTTGTTGAGCATTCTGTTCACTTGATGATTTAAACCAATTTATTACATCTCTCTTTCAAAGTATTGTTAAATGACACACTGATTACTTGTTTAGTTTTTAGGTATATATTTCACTGATGTTATGATACGAAAATTCATACAAAGAATTCATTTTCATTTTCTACGGCTAATATTTGATCAGGTCTGATCTTGTAGCCTTTCCATTCGCATAACACTACTAAACACATACGTGTGAGGTTAGAAATATAAATGGTAGACAGTTGGATTATTCTACTTCCCAGTATCACAAAACGAGACAGTCTTATAGCATTTGCACATCGATATTTCCAGCCCTAAAACTTTGTTGTGAATTTGAAATAGTTTAACGAATTACTACTAATCTCAAATAAACTAGAATTTCGACAAGGAACAATCGATAAGTCGAATTTGAACTGTTCAGCAATCTAAGTTTCAAATTAAAAACACAAACATAGTCAAAGTGTGGTGGATGTGATGACAAATTAATACAGTTTCTGCACAATTAAACACTTCATATTGTTTTAGTCTGTTATAGGAATACGACACAATTTCATTCTGGCTGAGATAAGTCAGTCAGTCAGTAACAACGTAGAACTTCGTACATACGTACGTACATCAGTTCAAGTTGCCATACCACATTAGCACACAGATGCAATTGTTGATTCAAATCCCATAGTGGTAGAGTTAGTAAAAGTATGGGCAGTAATCTGAAAGATTAGGGTTTGAAGATGTTATTCAAGGAGTATAATTCAGTGAAATAAATTTGGAAACAGGAAAAAAGGGACATGAAGAATTCAGAAGATTAGAATTTGGGAGAACACAAAGAGTGGATGCACCTGCACCATTGCAAACGATTTTGAGCCATGTCATTCATGGTCTCTAAGCATAGGTTGCTATCATCTCACGGTCCCCAACCAGGTAGTCTACACCTACCAACATGGTTCAGTCCACTTGTCTGTGACTTCATGGACTTGTGCCATGTTTTGGTCTGGCCGCCCCTAGCTTTCTTCCAACCTACTCCTATACCACTGAACATCGCACGTCGAGGCAGTCGGTCGTTGGGCATACGTAACACGTGTCCCACCTATCTCAACTGATGAAGTTTCACTACTTCATCAATTGATTTGCCATCTTTACCTAGTACCCGTTTCCTAACAACTGTGTTACTTACTCGATGGTCCCATGATATACGAGCAATGTTTCGAAGACACCTATGATAGAATACTAGTAACCTACGAATATCCTCTACTCTTACCGGCCATGTTTCACTGCCATAAAGTAGGACGGGACGTACTGCTGCGCAGTAAACAATTCCTTTGGTTGATAGACGGATATCTCGCCTACGCCATAAATGACGCAAGTTGGTAAAAGCTAGTTGAGCCTTCTGTATCCGTGCTGAGATTTCGTCACACACCAGATCACAAGGACTGATGAGATTTCCAAGATAAGTGAAGCGGTCGACACACTCAACTACTTCACTCCCTATCACTAGTTCGGGTGTCAATGTAACCCAATCCCGAAGCAACATTTTGCATTTCGAGGGAGAGAATCACACTCGAACATGCTTGCATTGTTGCTTAGAGAGGTTATCTATCACTCTAATTATTTGTTTAAACTGAGACACAAACGACGGAAAAGGATGAACACACTTACACATTTTATAATTCACTTCAGTAGTGAAAATCCTTCGCGCAGCCAAGGATTGAGAGAGGCTGAATCACAGGGCTAGTGAAAAATTGCACGTGTGGTAACACAAAATGTGGATTTAATTTCTGCAAAACTAACTCCATATTATAACCTTGGCCTTGAGTAACTAAACCTGGACTCCCGAAAATGCTGATTCTATGGAATTGCTAGATAATACTACCCTACTTAATATTTCACGGAGGTAACGAAATGTCAAAATACGCCTATATTTAGGGAAGTGTATTCATCAAAGAAAGTCTTGTTTTAGTGAGATTCTTATTCACAAGTATATGTGAGAAGCACAGAGTCGAGATTCTGTCCACTATCTTAATGTGATTATTCATGTGGAATGAAAATATTTGAGTATAATCAAATAAGTGAGGTTTGCTTTAGTTCAGAAAAGCCTCACCGAAAAAAAAAACGTGTGAACAGCTCACATATTTGTGCACTTACTTAGTGGGTTATGTCGATTTGATTCACTTCTACATTTACTAGAGAGGGAATTGAGTGCTTCGCCATCATAATGAGTTGCACTATGAATGGACGAGTCGGAATCTTCATCCCCATCGCCCTGTTCGTCTGAGCAACAGCCTGAAGACATAACAGATACAGACACCAGAAAATCTACAGGCAGTTGTAACGTTTAACCTTCGGTAAGTTTGTACCTAGCGTGAATGTAACTTGTGTGATGGTATAGTGCTAGCAGTAAATGAAGTAACCTGGGAGGAGAAGGAACAAGACAGAAAGTGATCCAACGACTCAACGCATACAATGCACTTACATTTAACAACGGAAGCAAGTGATAATAACATAGATAACATCATCGCGATATTACTGCAACTTGACAACCGATGGGCGACGCTTCAGAGGTATCCGTCCACTGTAGGAGGTTGCGAGCACTTGAAGGTCAAACTGTCGCAAAATGATTGGTGCGTCACATCGACAATTCATGAAGTTTTAGAAGCGGTCGAATCAGGACATTTTATAAATTTGAATTGAGTTCAGCCACACCATGTCTGATAACGTTCATTCCTCAAGTAACGAAGACGATGCCATCGTAATGATGCACGATATGGGACAAATCTTCAATGACCTTATGTTATCTCGAAGATTTACAAGTTGGGACAATTTTGAGACCTGTTTGAAAGAAGTACATAAGGTAATATGACTTCTGTAGTTAATAATTATTTCTTTAGTATACACATACTAAGTATGTTATGTCAGTATGCAAAAAGAACAGTGATGATCCAACTCTAAAGTACTTTTTCGTGAGATATGTCTGTACATATGACGTAAACGCAGTTCGTCAGAGTCAAATGCTTGTGTTCAGGATGTAGATGATGATAGTAATTTTCATTCTTCTGAAGAGCGTACAACTTTTGACCCGCCAACACAAACTAGGCAAAGGAGACGACGTTGGTCAGCTACCTATGCCTTACTTCGAATGAATTTATCCTTCAGGTCGAAATATTGCCATTGTCAATCTGGATTCTGGGTCCGGGCAGTAAATGGTGAGTTGAAACTCACCTCTATTAAAACTTCACAACCATCCTTGCACAGAAGGTTATATTTCTGTCGATCCATGGAGACGACAGTTGGCGTCAAGTGAACGCTTTTATTTAAGAGCGTTTCTACTGAGTAATTATAATGTTTCGAATTATTTGAATTATAGCACGAACTAAGAGTCCAAGAAATAACGCAATTGAATTAAGAAGACAGGCACAAACGAATCTACTGTATTTGGAATTCGAAATCAAGCCATCAACATATACAAAAGTATCATCAGTCAATTCAAACACCACATCCGCCACAGCTTAAATGGAAGTATAAGTGTTTACAATCGGTTGTATGTCTTCTTGTTAAGTTCATCCTGAGTCTGTCCGACATTGTACTGGATGAAAACTTTGTAGTATCTAGAATGTGCTCATTAGTATGGGAATTAACAAACGAAATCGGAACAGACTCACCTGGAATTGTATACAATCAACATATCGGTTTTGCACTGAAATGATTCATATCTCGAATTGGAACCATAGATTTTTCAACGCTACCCCCCCCCACGAAATAATGTTGGGTCTTTATATTCCCAAGTTATGAATAATGTGGCTTCATTTAAAACATATTTCTCACATTGATTAGAGTAAACATTAGAAGTGTTTTTGTGATAAGTATGAACAACAGTTGATATGAAATCATCAGAATTGTAATCAAAACCGAGCTCATTTAGTATTCGTGCTTTGCATTGAACAAGTTTTTCACAAGGAGCAAATGCATTATGAGGATAGGTAATACATATGACATCAGGATTTGATTCTACTGAAATATTTTCATGAAATTGACTATGAATGTCATTGCAGAGCAATGGATCATTAGAAAAATTAGCATCTATCATGACTGCCTCAGGTTTTTGATAATGAATAGGTTCATTTAACATATTTTCCTCAGATTTGTAAGAAATTTCATCAGAAATATGTGAATCATTAGGAAAAGCCATACCTGGTACAATAGCACGAGAATTCTGATAAATCAATTGGTTAGAAACCGTTGTCTCACAAGAATTCTGAATTTGATTTAACTCTGAACTGATTTTTGACTCTTCACTGTCTATTGCAATCGTTGATAAAGATAAATCATCATTATAAATACTCGACTCAGTAGAATCAGAATTACAAGACTTAATATTAGTTGCAATAACATGAACATTAGTATTGAAGACTGACTGAATATATCCAATATCATCACATTTAAAGCATTTAGAATTACGAAATTTACATGAATTAAAAGCATGGAACTTGCCACCGAACAAACATTGACCAAACTTGCGCCAGTCTTCGTGAAACGCACTGTAACTCCTCAATGAATTATCTGCATAACCTTGAGTATGCACTGGATTGGGATGACGTGATGTAGTAGAATTTTATATGTCCTGATGAATTATTTTAAGAAATTTCCCTTCTTTGCTGCAATCAAAATTTGCATACTTGACATAGTCTAGTAGTAATTCCTTGAGAGTTGTATAAGGAAGCGAAATGGGCTTTTACGGCATAGCCAGAGTTCTTAATAAACCGTATGGTTCTTTACCGATGAATGTGAGAAAATATGCCACAATATTAACATCCTCATCATCTTCCTTAGTCATGACCCAGATTTCGAACCTTTCGAAATAATCCTCAAAAGCTTCAGAAGTTGAATGAATGTCTAACTTTTCCATTGCAGGCTCAATCGCGACGCCAATATGATGTTTCGAATTATTTGAATTATAGCACGAACTAAGAGTTCAAGAAATAACGCAAGTGAATTAATAAGACAGGCACAAACGAATGTACTGTATTTGGAATTCGAAATCAAGCCATCAACATATACAAAAGTATCATCAGTCAATTCAAACACCACAGTAATACACCAACTCGTAGCTTACGGCATATGGTTTCTTGGATGTTTCATAAACAGCTTACCAAGGACGAGGCATTCACAGTTGTACCCAGGTTGTTGAACCCACATTGTAATTAATTGAGTTTAGACACTAAAAATACCAATGACATCTTACAGCGTGTTCAAGCGAACACTGAGGTAAAAGTATTCAATGAAAATGGAAACATATCTATGATTTATTTCAGCCGCAAGGAGCGAATAGCTGTTTACCACGCGTTCTCGGAGGTAATATGCATTGATTCGACTTATCAGACCAACAAAGTTGGGTAAGTAACGATTAGTAATAAATTTATCTGAAAGTTGTCCACTGTTCCAGCTAGTAGTGACTGATAGTTTTGGGCAAGGGTACACTGTTATGTATGCTCTTTGCAGTCAAGAACGATGCGAAGATGTCGAAAAACTATTGGAATACTTTAAAGAGATCATGTGCGGTACTTATGATACATGCACTTTCATAATGGATTCGGCAGCGACCGAAATTTCAGCTGTGCAGTCTACGCACAGTCATTCTAACATAATACTTTGTTCATTCCATGGCGTTTTTCAGGAAGGTATGTGTTAGCTGTACAAATTATTTTCTGTAGTTCCGAAATCCTGATGTGCGCAAATGCTTGGAACACCTTGTCAAGACTAGACGGTCTGATATGTGAGCTTCGCTTTTCATAACGCATTATATTCAGATTTACTCGGAAGTAGGAACATCTAAGGACGCATTTCCCACTGGCGTATGATTACATAAAAGATTACTGGATTGTCCGGAAGTCAATATGGGCTCGCTGTTACCGGCGACATGTATTAAGCCTGGGCAACCACACAAACAACCGTGTCGAAAGTGCTCATAAACACCTAAAAGAATGTCTCAGAAGAGGTGATTCCCTGCTATTGACGTTCTGAAAAATTTGGAGTAAAACAGACATTGACCTACGTTTGCGTCCATATGACGCTGTAAAGCATCTTCAACGTTCTCCAATTCTTCAGGTAAGAAATATAGTTAAATGTATCATTAATTCCAGGTTCTAATGTCATTTCGAACTCTTCTAAATGAGCTCACATATTTTGCAGCTGTAAATCATAAACGTGTTCGGACAATGAGACACGAATTTATAGAAAGAGAATACATCCGGTGCTACCACAAGGGCATGATGTATGTTGTTGATGCTTTACGTGCACGATGTGCTTGTGAGCGTTTCAATGACTACATGCTGCCCTGTGGTCATATTCTGTATGCACATTCTAAAGATCTGATTCATGGAGGTGTGTGTTCCTTTGTCCCTATAAGGTTTGTAGACTCATTTCGACGTAGCAACCTGTGGACTAGGAAATACATAATGGACCTGGCTCTTCGTGCGCTGGACAACATGTCAATCACTACAGAGAGTGGTGATCTGCTCGAGAAGTTCACTAACAATTACCACTCAACCCATGCTCTTAGTGAACCTTTGGCAAGTAAACTCATCCGTTCATGTCTCGAAGCATCGAAATACATATGCGCACAAGTGATGAGTTCAATCGGTGCTAATGATGAAGCTACAACGTCAGAATCTATTGTTAATACAGACCATAGCTATGCTTCTTGATAACAAGAAGTTCTAATATTGTAATCTTTTTAGTTTTACATAAATTCATTTATATGGCCATTGACTTATTCTTATAGCGTAACGGCAGGGAGTGTATTGTGCAGTCTTATGTGGCTGTTAGACAGGGATGTTGTTTCGCGTTCTTGTGTAATAATTACCAGCTTGGCGTCAATTGTGATTGGATTGGTGCATGCTGTGTTGTATCGGAGAATTTCGCTTTTCCCTTTGTGTATATTGAGACCTACTGTTGCTGAGGCTGATGCTACACTGGTCGTCTTCTCCTGCATTTGTTGTTGCCTTTGCGATAGAAGAGCCAGATCATCTGCGAAGTCTAGATCGTCCAACTGCACCCTAGATGCCCACTGTATCCCGTGCTTCCCTTCAGAAGTTGACGTCTTCGTGATCCAGTCGATCACCAGGAGAATGAGAAAGGGTGAGAGTAAGCAACATTGCCTGACACCGGTCTTTACTTCGAACAACTTTGTCAACTGTCCTCCATGCACAGTTTTGCAGTTTAATCCATCATAGGAATTCCGTATGATATTGACTATCTTCTCAGGTACGCCGTAGTGTCGAAGAAGCTTCCATAGTGTTGTCCTGTCCACGCTATCAAATGCTTCCTCGTAGTCAATGAAGTCGATGTAGAGTGATGAATTTCATCCAATCGATTGTTCCACAATGATCCGTAGGGTTGCGATTTGATCTGTACACGATCGATTCTTACGAAATCCTGTCTGTTGGTCTCGAAGTTGGGCATCTACGGAGTCATTCATTCTGTTTAACAACGCCCTGTTGAGGACTTTTCCTGGTGTTGAGAAAAGAGTGATGCCCCTGTAGTTATTAAACTTGCTGAGATCGCCTTTCTAAGGTATTTTGACCAGAAGTCCTTCTTTCCAGTCTCCTGGTAC